TGATAAGAAGATATAAAATTATTGGCATCAAGATAAGTAAGCAATTTGTTGCAAATCAACCTTTCAAGTACCTTGCTACCAACACATGTTAAGCTAATAGGTCTGTAATTAGAAGCGTCATAGGTGCTTCCTTTTTTATGAATGGGAACTATATGGGACAATTTCCAAATTTTGGGATTAAGGCCAGACTTCATAATATCTTTATAAATTAAAAATAGAGGAAGACTCAGAGAGACTGCGCATTTTTTATAAATTATTTGTAGAATGTCGGGACCAGCTGAAATGGACGGCTTAAGTCTATTTAAGGCATCATAAACATCCAGTAGTTATTTCCATCTCGCAGAGAGAAGTGCAACAAATTCGATTTACGTTAAAACAAGAAGTATGAGTATTATCCTCAATAAACACATTAGAAAAATACTGATACTGATTAAATACATTTGCAATATCAATATAAATGAAAGTTTTCTTTGGACAGGTCGAGATCACCAGCTCGAAATAATAATTTTAGGAAAGATATCGCATTTCGTTACAATTAAAGAAGTGACCACAAGTGGTTTCATAAGACCAACAATTTCAATCGCTAGTGACGAGGTGAAGAATGGCTGTTACCTTTTATATTTCTTTTTTAGTTTCGGTATATTTTCAATGGTGCGATAGATTGTGTGTATGTTATCGCGAATGATAAGATACGATACTTTTTAACGGAAAAGTTAAATCGGAAAAGGAACGAACCAAGGAATAACTCTGAGTTTTTTCATTAAATTTAAATTATTTTGATAATTTGGTTTGAAATGCTGTTGCTATTCTCAATCCTTTAAAAAATACCTTCTACACTGTGATAGTCGAAATCTTTTTTTTGGAAGGCAGCGGGTATTTTCTGCGCATTATTGGCCATGATTAGCCATGGCTCGAGCCGCAACATTGTCCAATGCGTGAAGTGACAGTTTCAAATGCGCGATAAGAGAGCAGCTTTCGATATGAAACGTTTCCAACAGCTTCCAACAATGATTGGGCAAAATACAATCAGCCTGGTTGAAAAATTGGCTAATTATTTTTTATGCCTCTCGGCGAAGCGAATTCGAATTATTTATTTCGAATTACTTATGCGTATAGAATTTGTAGAAGGGAGTCAATGCGGCTCTTATTAACATAAAACTCAAGGAACAGAATAGTGCAAGATGACTCGAATCTTGTTGGAAGACTAGAATGTTCTTTAAAAACCTAACCTTGATAGTGCTAACGATTCATCCGTACTTCTAGTCATTTTTCTGGCAAAAATTTTCAAGCTCGAACCCAGACAGAAATGAACGCAAACTTTCTGTATAATTTAGAATCCAAAGATATGCACTTATACTGCTTATTGCTTGTCTTGATTTACAGAGTGGTGTATTACAGAGTGATTTACAGAGTAGTGTTACAGAATGGATTTTTGAAGAACTTTTGAGATACCATCGAATTCGGTTCGCTTGCAAGCAACGAGTTCATTTAAGTCGGAAGATTTTCCTTCCTCTCATATTAATTTTATTTTAATGAGAATTAGAAAAAATCTTTTTTTTTTGTGCAAAGCATTTGATATTTTTTTATTAATTTTTGTACGATTCCTGCGAATTTATTCAGCTGCAGATAAATGCCTCGAAAAAAACCTCTATTCATAACCAAAATGTAAAATTGTAATATAATTAAATTGTTATTCATGGCTTCGCATGAAGGTGAAATTTGGAATCAACGAGAAAATGAAGAAAAACAAATGAAAATGAATGTATTTATGAAAATGTATTTATGAAAATTTCTGCAATAATAACAGAAATTATATTAGCGGTTCTAATAATTAATTTAACGAAATTTTTATTTTTTATTATTTTCTTTATTTTTATTTTTTCTTTATTTTGGGATTTTATAATGATTTGAAACAATGAAAGACAATTTCGAAAATTTAAACAGTAAATTAAGGAATTTGTTTCGACAGTGAATTTCTTCGCAAAAGAGTTTTGTAAAAATATTAACATATTTAAATTTTCCAACTGAATACTTATTATATGTTAAAAAACGGAGCTATGAAAATATAAAAATAGTGAAAAAATCGAAAAATAAAAAAATTCACAAAACTTATAATAGGTAAACAAAACTCGATGGAAGGTTTTAAAGAAATTAATCAGTTAAAACTCATTATCTCCGTTATAGTCCGGGCGATTAGGATGGGGTTTTTTCGATGGCAAGAATGGTCCCCAGTATTATTTAGACTTTTAATTACAGATAACTTTCTATTATAGACTGGAAGTTAGCAGCTGAAACTGGTGAAAAAATGAATAAAATATAAACTAAAATATTTCATCTGCTGGCCAGTTACTATAATTTTGAATGAAAGCTCATCAATGTTAATCAATGCAACTCGTATATTTTTGTTTATTTTCGGCGAATTAAACCATCTTTGAATCGAAAAATTTTATTATTTTAATCCACAAAAAATTAAAAAGCATTTTTTCGAAACTGTGTTAATTTTTTCAAACTACTAATTTGGATTATTTTCCTAATGATAATGCTAGTAATCCAGGTTAATATCTTTAAAGTATTCATCACAATCTGCAAGATTTTGGTTAATTTCAATTCACCCTTTTTTTCATTTTTGAATTTGGGTTCCTTGTTCCTATAATGCTATAATCAGATGGAATATTTTATGGATGAAAGAAGAACCAAAGGAATCGCTAATGGTTTTATGATATGCTTTGCTATTATTGTCAGTAATTAAATTGTATTTTTGTCCAAGCTATAGGGGTAATTTTTGTTATCACTTTTTTTGCGAAACTTTATCACTTCCTTAAAGTATAAATATGTTAAATAAATCATTTGTTTAAATTTTTAAATATGGACAATGAATCCATAAATCTTTTTGCTTTTTTTAAAAAAGCATTTTAAATGTACCCAAGAAATTCTGCGAAAACTTCTTATTTTCAATTCTATTTGGCAGGTTCTGACAATTAGTCAAATGGTTATTTCCAGCAGATGAAAATTGCTTGACGAAATTTGCTGAATTCAAATTGAGAATGAAAAAATCTCTAATTATTTTTAAATTCGCATCGAAATTTGCACTTATCCTTTCGCAAGCAGTTTTAATATAAAAATTTAGCATTTACAAATTATTTTTATATTAAATTATTTTTTATGCAAAATAGATTTTTTCCGGAAAATTTTACTAATTAGGAAAATCCATTCTCCATGAGAAATCGGAGAATGTAAAGGGATCAGCGATAAAATTTCCTTTACAATTTTAATTTAATATTTGCGATTATATCAAATAAAATCATCCCAAATTTAAGATCGTTTGCCGTTGCAAATCGGAGCAATTAAAGCCGTCAGTGAATATACGTCGAACAATTCCATAAAACAAAATTTTATCGTTGTTATTTTTTATAAGCTACTGGTTTATTCAGATGCCAGTGGGTGATTTATTGAACTAAATTTATTTATCAAGAAAAGGCAAATCTCATCAAGTAAACAGAATATTTGCTTCCAAACTCAATTTCAAGTTTTTGATAATCGTAATAATAGATTTTAAAAAATAATGCCATGAATGATTTCCTTTATCACTATTAAAATTTTAAAAAATAGTATTAAAATAGTATTAATAAAAACTAAGCATAAAAAAACGCTTCCATGTTTATTGCGCTAAATTTCATAGGGCGTGCATTAAGAGATGGATTTCGCAGTATTATCAGCATTCAATTACTGTAACTAAATAGACACGATAGATACGACTTCAATATACAACACAATCTCCGCGATTTTATAAAGGGTCCATCAGATGAATAGAAGCATTTCATGTTCCCGTTTTGTTATAGAAATGGAGAAAAACGACTGGATTATGTTGTATTTAATCATATTATATAAGAAAGGACTTATGAACAAACATTTCTACAGGTTCAGCAGAAGGTGTGGCAGTGTACTTATATGTAGAAATAATTCATCAGTGTCTTAAAATATGAAAAGAATCTTGTCTTATTTGCGGAGAAACTCAAGAATAACGAAGCTCTGACTAGCATAGTTCTGGAATATCGGCAAGCGATTATCCAATTCTTAGCTGAATATTACAGAAAATGGACTTGATTCTGCATATGCGAAATCTTGTTTAAAAAAATTGTTGTAGCTCTTTCCTATTCAAAGTCTGAGTCGATCTAAGGGTTTAACAAGTCAGAATACTATTTGTTGTTAACCATCTTTTTGGAGAATTATTCTTTGCAAACCACAACCATGAAGTAAAAAAAGCATGAAGAAAAATGCTCGAAGAGGTCACCGATAAATTTCAAAATATCAGATATCTGAATAATAATTATTTAAGTATTATTCGTACAATCTGAGAAAAGATAAGGTGAAAGCAAAATGGCTACAAAATTCTTCTGCAAAATCCCATACCTTTACTTCCAAGAATAATTTTTAAAAAATCCACTGCTTGAAAAAAGATTTTTCCACGGTCAATTTGATAAAAACGAAGCAAACATTTCCACACCGATAATTTATAAATAATAAAATACAAATAGAATGTATTAACGATTACTTACTGTAAGATATAGCGATTCACAATCGACAGGTGAAACCATTTTATCTCCTTGCTTGGATAGCGTATAAAAGCGGTG